GAGCCATGTGGTGATTATCAGATGGAAAATGACTAAAGAAAGATTAGGAATGAGAGATTCTTGATAAACTGAAATAATGGGATTCTTGCTGAGGACACACAGCAATCAAACATCACACCTAATCACTTATTTAAAATAGTTTGATATTTAGTGTGGAGTTTCATGCTACACTACTTTAGCAGGGTTATTTGCTCAAAAAGGATTTTACAAGGAAGTATGCAGAGGAAACTAAAAGATTGAGAGGCCTGACTAAAGTCTGATGAAGGCAAAACTTTGACACATTTTAACCATGTCCAAGCATACACAATTTAGTACTGTTCAATATGTTCATATTACTGTGCAACCACTCCAGTCAGTTTTACGAGATGTGAAGAGTCATACAGATAGCAGTAATGTTTGCTAGACAATGTGAGCGCACACAGTAAGTCTGGTCATCTCACTTTTCACATTGTAGCTCATAGTGACTTCCATTGGCCAGTTCCTGTCACCACTGAGCAGCTACCTTACATCCCACTCACCATAGTTTGGTCTCTTATACCTGGGTCTTGATGTTGGGTGAACCAAAACCAAAACATGATGTTGGGTGAACCAAAACCAAAACCAGCCCAATACCAATTCACCTTGTGTTGCACTTCTGGACCAGTGTGGGTTCTGCCTCAGAACATTTTGGCTAACGCTGGCCACAAAGATGTGATCAACATCCAAAGAGGATCTTGGAAATTTTATAACCACACAGAGTGTGTTGTGCCTCAACACACTCAGAACTTTCACATGTTTCCTCTCCAACCTAGATCAGTTCCATTCTCAAAGTAAACTTGGACATTTCACCAGGGGTACACTTGCAGAGCCCTCCCAGTACATATGAGTAGTTCCCAGGCTCTGAAATGCCTTAGAATTTTTTATTTTGCTTTATTTTGTTAGACATTTATGGTACATTTTATTTTAAAATTTAATTTATTTTATTCACTTTAACATCTCTTAGCTTGTAAGTTGAATTTATCCAAAATGAATAAATTTCCCACTAGAGTAGCTGAGGATCCAAAACACATTATCATCAACATATTATAATCCATTTCTATATTCCCAAAATGCCTGCTTATTTTCCTCCATAACTTCTTTTGTTACACTGTCCCCTTCCTCCCGTCCTCTTCCCACATTGTCTCTAGTACCTATAACCATTTTCAAAGTTTATATGGCCTATAATCTTTCAGTTTCCACTATGTTTTTAAACACTTTTTCTGTTGTCTTGCCTGCCATGAAAGTGGAAGCTAGAAAATTTTCTATATTTATTTTTGCCAAAATCAGTGTTTATATTCTGTTGCATCTTTAAACATCAAACATGGAACACAGAAATAAACTTTTGCCAGGGCCAGCAGATGTTGTAATAGTTATGTCACTGGCCTCCCATATATTTGAATTCAGTTCAAGTCCCAGAGTCACAGACTTTAAACTCAAGCCAGTGTGTGTACATGTGTGCCCAAGATCCCAAGAGGACAATGGAAAAGAAGAGATTGTGCCGTGGCCATCCCCTTAAGGGATGGTTTCGTGCTTTCTATCACTCTGTCTCTTTGTCATTTCAGAGAGCACATATGCCCTATAGCAAAAATCACTCTTAAATAAAAATACTTGCCAAAATACGCATGTTAGTTCTATAATTGGGAAACTCTTAGGTCTTATTCATCAGTGAAAAATACTTGCCAAAATACACATGTTAGTTCTGTAATTGGGAAACTCTTAGGTCTTACTCATCAGTATTCTGAAACATTTTATTTTTGTAGACAGATATCATCCCCAAATTTTCTGATACCGTTAATTTTAACTGCTGTGACTTGCTGAAGCAAAACTGAATTTGAAAAAAAAAAGTTCAATGCTTTTACCTTCAGAGATCATCTCATATTTCTGAATATTTCAAAGATTGATAGCACAGCTTACATTACTGAGGATTTTGAGCCATTTGAGTTTACTGATGTATGGTAATCTTTTAATTCTAATAAAAAGATTTCTTCATTTTTCACATTTATTCAATTTCTGATCTGAGAGTTCTCTGATCCACAGTAAGTTGGGGCTTCTTCAAGGTTTTATTACAGTTCCCACACATACAGGGTTTCTATTCCTTGTGAGTGCGCTAATGTAAAACATGGAATGATTACTCTGAACACATTTTTCTATACCACTCCCATTTATAGAACTTACTCCTGTGTTTTCTTATATACAGTAAGGACTGATTTATATTAAATGGAAAATTTTCTGTTGGTACATTGACATTCACAGGCTTTTATTCTTTTCAGAATTCTTTGGTGTACATTGAGGGCTGACTTATAAGTGAAAGACTTTCTATACTCCCTCCCTATGACTTATAAATGAAAGACTTTCTATACTCCCTCCCTACATTCATGAAATTTCTCTCCAGTGTGACTTTTCAAATGCTTACTAAATATAGTTTTTAAGATAAAAAATCCTATGTTCTTCACATCAATAAAGTTGCACTTCTATGAGAGTCTAAAAATCCTATGTTCTTCACATCGATAAAGTTGCACTTCTATGATAGTCCTCTGATGTACAATGAGCCCTGCCTTCCAGTAGTAAAATGTTGCCTACATTGTTTCTTTCCAGTGTGAGTACCTGGATGTACAGTAAGATGTGACTTTTTGAAAAAAGTTGTATTTCAGTTTTTACAATCATAGGGTTTCTCTCCTGTGTTGAGTTCTCTGATGTACAGTGAGTGCAGACTTCCAGGTGAACACTTTCCTACAATGTTCACATTCATAGGGCTTCTCTCCTGTGTGAGTTCTCTGATGCTTAGTGAGAGTTGACCTCCTGGTGAACATTTTCCTACAATGTTCACATTCATAGGCCTTCACTCCTGTGTGAATTCTCTGATGTTCAGTGAGATATGACTTCCGGGAGAACATTTTCTTACATTGTTCACATTCATAGGGCTTCTCTCCTGTATGAGTTCTCCAATGCCTAGTGAAATCTGACTTCCGGGAGAACATTTTCTTACACTGTTCACATTCATAGGGCTTCTCTCCTGTATGAGTTCTCCAATGCCTAGTGAAATCTGACTTCCGGGAGAACATTTTCTTACATTGTTCACATTCATAGGGCTTCTCTCCTGTGTGACTTCTCTTATGTGCAGTGAGGTACCCCTTGCTGGAAAATGTTTTCCCACATTGTTCGCATTCAAAGGGTTTTTCTCCTGTGTGTGTTCTACTATGCACAGTGAGCCATGACTTATGGGAGAACATTTTCCTACATTGTTCACATTCATAGGGCTTCTCTCCTGTATGAGTTCTACTATGCACAGTGAGCTGTTACTTCTGGGAGAACATTTTATTACATTGTTCACATTCATAGGACTTCTCTCCTGTGTGACTTCTCTTATGTACAGTGCGGGACCCCTTGCTGGAGAATGTTTTCCCACATTGTTTGCATTCAAAGGGTTTTTCTCCTGTGTGACTTCTCTGATGCTCAGTAAGATGTGACTTGCAGGAGAACATTTTCCTACACTGTTCACATTCATAGGGCTTCTCTCTTGTGTGAGTTCTCTTATGTACAGTAAGGGACTCTTTTCTGGAGAATGTTTTCCCATACTGTTCACTTTCAAAGGGTTTTTCTTCTGTGTGACTTCTCTGATGCTCAGTGAGATGTGACTTCTGCAAACACATTTTCCGACATTGTTCACATTCATAGAGTTTCTTTCCTGTATGAGTTTTCCAATGTCTACTCAAGACTGACTTGGGACTGAAAGATTTTCCACATTCCCCACATTTATAGGATTTCTCTCCAGTGTGAGTTGTCTGATGCACAGTGAAGTATGACTTCTTGTAGAACATTTTTCCACATATTTTACTTTCATAGAATTTCTCTCCTATGTGACTCCTATGTGAGGTCTGAATTCTGGGAAAATGTTTTCTTACATTGTTTACACTCATAGGGCATCTCTCCTGTGTAAGTTTTCAAATGATCAGTAAGGGGTGTGTTCAGACAAAACAAATTTCTATATTCTTTTATCTACAAATTTTCTCTCCAGTAAGAGCTATTTCATGTATAACAAGAGTGCAAAGTTTGCTAATTTCTTCACACGATAAGGTTTTACTTCTTTGTAATTTCTCTGGTTACCGTAATTTTTGACCTCTGGAAAAAAAGAATTCTTTATGATTTTTATATTTATAAGGTGTTTCCCTTGTGTGCAGTCTCTGATGAAAAGCTATATTTTAATTCTACAACTCTTATGAATAGCAATCATCTACTCTGTTTAAAATCTATTGTAAAAATGATTTTAAAAAATAATTTTTCATATTCTTTACATTTATAGTGTGCATCTCGTGTATCATCTCATCTGCTGAATGAGACAATTAGACTTTTTGTTAAATGGCTTCTTCCACATGTGAACTATATACTGGGCAATAAGAACTGTCTTACCACATGTATTCCCATATTTATTACACTTACAAGCAGTCTCTCTCATACCAATCCTCTTTGATTGAAAGACAATAATTTCCATAAATTATATTTGAGAATTAATTTTCACTGCTCATGTATATTTCAAATATTGGTACTGATCTATAACAAGAAATATGGCTCTTTCTCCTTAATATGTTACTGTAGCAATTCACATTAATATTTTTAAAAGCTGAGTGGATTTATTTTGTTCCTTTATGCTTCCCTTTCCTTTAATACCTCTAACAATATTCAAAATATCTACCTTCTGTCTTCCTATAATTTTACACTGAAAGATTTCCATGTGTCATTTGTTTTCCCTGTCCTTTTTCTCTTTTTTTTTTCTTTTAATAGTGGGTATTGTGTACTGTTTCTTTGCTAATGTGAACAGTTTTCTAGATCATCTATTTGCAGAAGCCAAAAGAACTCTTGTCACTTAAGAAGAAATGTTACTGTGGAAGGACTTGTAGCCAAAAACATACATACTAATTATTCTAAATATGCCATCCCATAGGACCCTTTAAAAAATATATACCCACTTTTTCACACTCTTATCCCAGGAAAACATTTCTACATTTTTCTAACATCATGAGTACTAACATTTTGTTTTCCTCTCTCAATGAAATATAAATTCTTTAAAAGAAAATGTATTACACTAGTCCCTGAAAACTGTTCACTGACTAACCTGGGAGGCTCAAGCTGGGAAGTTCTTCTAATGTCCATGGATCTCCTCCTTGCTCTAACTTGAAGATCACTGCAGGTTTGGCAATGGATTGTCCTGTTAATAAAAAGCATTGTGGAATTTTGCCAAACTATTCATGTAAGTTACTTAACAACAGTTCAACTTTATCAGTTGTGCAATAAGGGGCTGATTTGGGTATTTTGTTAAAGAGGAGTGCCACTCACATTAACCACAGAATAAAATCTCACTCCTAAACAGCATTAAACATTATGAAACTCTTGTACATTTACTATGAAAGGAAACAGTAATTACTTCAGAGAGCTTCTTGGGAGTTCCACTAACCCAAAAACATCAGGTTGCTGTAGGTCTCCAGCATCACATCCTTGTATAGAATCTTCTGAGCATCTTCCAGGTCCTGCC